TGGGAGATCAGAGTCTCACAGACTTTCCTGCCCCAGCTGGCTTTGAACCGAGATCCTCCGATCTCAGCCTCCTGAGTGGCTGGGATTACAGGCATGCGCTGCTAGCATGGCTCTTGGCGCCCTGGTGTCTCACTGGTGTAGGAAGGACTTTGCCCGGGCACTGTGCCAGGCTGGTACACTGACAGTTGCTCAAACAGCTGTGTTCCCTGAGGCAGAACGCACCATGCGTCACCGACAATGCAAACCAGAGACACACGGGTTAAAAATAATCCTCAGCTCCAAAGAGCGACCGGTGTGTGTGGCTCCTGCCTGTCATCCCAGCTACCCAGGAGGCTGAGATCGGAGGATCGCGCTTCAAGGCCAGCCCAGGCAGGAAAGGCCATGAGACTCTTGATTTCCAGTATTCTAGCAAAAAGCCAGAAAGTGCAGCTGTGGCTCAAGTGGTAGAGCGCCAGCCTTGAGTGAAAAAAGCCAAGCAAGAAGGTGAGGTCCTGGGTTCAAATCCTAGTGCCGGCACACACACACACACACACACCACAGCAATGCAACACACATAGCAAACTATGAATGTCCATAGCACAGTGAATAGTTTCAGCAAAGTCTCCTAGGAACATTTGTTTTTGAGTCTTTCTCTCTCTCTCTCTCTCTTTCTCATTCTCTCTCTGCCAGGATTCGAACTCTGGGCTTTGTACTTCTAGCTCCCCCTACCCCCCAATGCTCTACCATTTAAGCCACAGCTCTACTTTCTGGCTTTGTATCACTGTTTTATTGGAGATCAGAGTCTCACGGACTTTCCTGCCCGGGCTGGCTTTGAACCACGATCCTCAGATCTCAGCCTCCTGTGGAGCTGGGATGACAGGTGGGAGCCACTGGCTTTGAGTCCCGGCCATCGTTATGATGAGGATGAGGAGGATGATTATTAGGTAACATTTCCCTGCGACCATTTCAGGATCTGAGTCTTTATCAAGACTGGCCGGGCTCCGCGGTGGTCTGTGGAGAAAACCTTTTCCAGCTGAGGTGCACGAACCAGCACTGTTGCGCAGCACATTAATTTCTGAGTACAGAACGGAGAGCAAAAGCCCCACGGAGACCCAGCGAGCGGCTGGGGGGGGGGGGTGGCCCGTCCTAGCTAAAGCCAGGGCTGTGAGACATTTCTAGAACAGAAAATGGAAAGCCTGCAGCCTCTTCCGACAAGAAAGTGACAGGAGAGAAAGTCAGGTCGAGGGGGTGGAGAATCAGAGCGCCTGCTCCCCAGGCGGACCCCCCTTACCTGTCCATGGTGTGTGCTGCGCGCGCCCCGCTGTAGTCCCGGACAGGAGTGAAGCTGGGGCCGCCAGCCTCCAGCTATATCCCTGCTCTGCTCCATCTGCTCAAGCATGGGGCCCCCACATTCAAATTTGGGGCTCCTCCCCCTGCCCCCTCAAGGTCTCCGAGCCGTGGGGCTGGGCCAGGTGTCCCGAGCATGGCTGACTGACAGCGCAGTCACTGGGTTTATTTTTTATTTGTTTTTCGTGTCAGTCCCGGGGCTTGAACTCAGGGCCTGGGCGCTGTCCCTGAGCTTTTTCACTCAAGGCTGGCGCTCTACCACGTGAACCACAGCCCACCGCTTCTGGCAGTTTGGGCAGTTCATTGGAGAGTTTCACCCATTTGTCTTCTTGCCTGTCTTCCAACTGTGATCCTCAGATCTCAGCCTCCTGCATAGCTGGGATTACAGGCGTGAGCTACCGGTGCCCTGGCTTCCCTGAGCTTCTTCAGCTCAAGGCTGGCGCTCTACCACTTGAGCCACAGTGCCACTTCTGGCTTTTTCTGTGTCTGTGGTACTGAGAAATCGAACCCAGGGCTTCGTGCATGCGAGGCGAGCGCTCTACCACTGAGCCACCTGCCCAGCCCCCTCATTTTAGTTTTATTTATAGTACACTTGGATGAGAATCAATGTTTAGCTGTTTTTCTAGAAAGCATGACTGCTCAAAAAAAAAATGTATATCAGGGCCCTGGTGCACACGCCTATAATCCCAGCTACTCAAGAGGCTGAGATCTGAGGATCACGATTCGAGGCCAGCCTGGGCAGGAAAGTCCATGAGACTCTGATCTCCAAGGACCCACCAAAGAGCCAGAAGTGGCGCTGCGGCTCAAAGTGGTAGAGCAAAATAATAAAAATCTCAAGGACAGCGCCCAGGCTCCGAGTTCAAGTCCCACCACTGACCCCAAAAACGAAGCAACAGAATGCAGCGCAGTCTGTTTAGCTGATTCCTTCTTGTTTCTTCTCCATCCAGAGTGGTTCTCGTTTGAATGGCACAGTGGAATCACCTTGGGAAGAGTAGAGAATACATCGATGGGAATACAGCTGTCCGAGAGATAGTATACAGCAATGAAAAAGGAGCGAGCCGAGGAATGAAGTCCGGAGCCCCGGGTGAAAGCCGCCTTAGTCTCTGTGGATTCTTCACCCGCGAAGCACGTGATTTGGACAATGGGCCCAGTTGTTTTTCACATCTGGATTTTACTCCTGAATATTCATCCTGAGAAGGCCAGGTGAGGTTTGGTCGTGGCCAGGGCGGGGTGGTGGGGTGAGGCGGGCGGAGGCCCAGAGCCCCCTGGGAAATCTCCAGGACCTTTGGGCCCTGTGGCCGGGGGTGGGGGGGGGCAAACCCCTCCCCAGCTCCTCCCAGGCCTCTATTTTTGGTCCCCCAATTCCATTGCTCAACCTGATACTTGGTTGTTTTTAAGAGAACTCTCCCCCGCAAAAAAATAAGGGGCCGGCGTGGGTGGAAGTGTGGTTTTGGGATTGCTTCAACTTCTCCATTCCCCGATTTTTGTTTTTCTCACTTTGCCAAACAAGTTACTGAATTTTCTCAGGGGGTCTAAAAACAGTTGAGGGACCCGAGTGAACAACATACAGGAAATACTCAGCTTCTGCCCCGCGCAGGCCGCGGCCTCCTTGCTCCACAGAGAGACCTAACTGGGGTCGAACAAAAGCGTTTGGCTCCAAGGCCCAGTGCTGGTGCGCACGCCTGTAATCCCAGCTACTCAGAAGGCCGAGAGCAGGAGGAGGATGGTTTCAAGCCAGCCCCGGGCAGGGAAGTCCCTGGGATTCTTATCCCCAGTGAAGCAGCAAAAAGCAGCCAGTGGAGCTGTGGCTTAAATGGTAGAACGCCAGCCTGGAGTGAAAGAGCTAAGAATCAGCACCTAGGCCCTGAGTTCAAGCCCCGGGACTGGCACAAAAAAAAAGAAAGAAAGAAAGAAGGAAGGGAAGAAAGAAAAGAAAAAGATCTTACAAAGAGCTCAAGAAACAGAGTCCTTTTCTTGCTGATGCTCACTTGACTTTTTTTTTTTTTAAGCCCGTGGTGAGGCTTGAACTCAGGGCCGGGTGCTGTCCCTGAGCTCTTCTTCCTCAAGGTGAGCGCTCTACCACTTGAGCCACAGCACCACTCCTGGTTTTCTAGAGATTCATTGGAGATCAGAGTCTCACAGACTTTCCTGCCCAGGCTGGCCTCGAACTGCGATCCTCAGATCTCAGCCTCCTGAGGAGCTGGGATTCTAGGCGGGAGCCACCAGCACCCCGGCCTCCACCATAGTCTGAGTTTTGTCTCATGGCTCATATTTCAGTTGGTCCATATACAAAATGTGAACAAATAATACAATCTTTTTCATGCCTGTATACTATTCCCGAAGCCCAAAGCTGTAGGATCCCATTGATACCCGCGGGGTAGGAAATACTGCCCTCACTTTGCAGACAGGAATGTCCAGGCAGTTACCTGGCAGGAGCCGAAAACTAGCAGGGGATTCTCCACTCGGACCTCCCGGCAGACAGAAGCAAGGCTCACGCAAAGTATCGTCTGCGGCGGTTGTCATATTGGCAAGTCAAGTGATTGCAAGGGGGAAAGGAAAAGTTGACCCAGGCATGATGGGGTACAGCAGGGGTGTCAGCACTTGGGAAACTGAGGCAGGGAGGTTTCAAGTAACGCAGTGAGTCCCTGTCTAGGAGAAAAAGAGAGACAAAGGGGGGAAGGGAAGAGACAGAGAAGGAGGGAGGGAGGGAGAGAGTAGGAGGGAGGGAGGGAGAGAGAAAGAAGAGGGGGGGGAGACAAAGAAAACAACAGTTCTCTGCTCCCATGAGTGACAGTTTTCTGATTAAATGACATGTGAAGCCGGGCACCAGTGGCTCCCGCCTGTAATCCCAGCCACTCAGGAGGCTGAGAGCTGAGGATCCAGGTTTGAAGCCAGTCCAGGAAGGAAAGTCTTCATAAGACTCTTATCTCCAAAATAGCCTGAAGAATCATGCTGAAAAGTGGCGCTGTGGTTCAACAGGTAGAGCGCCAGCCTTGAACAAAAAAAAGCTCAGGGATAGCGCCCAGGCCCCGAGTTCAAGTCCTGGTACCAACACACACACACACACACACACACACACACACACACACACATACTCAAATGACCAAGAAATCAAGGCAGAGAGAAAAGAGAAAAGCACTAGAGATAAGGAAAAGAAAGAGAAAACGTGGGAAATCAATAAACCGAAGTGATCAGACATTGAAAAAAACAAGAAAAGGAAAACCGACCAAAAAAACAAGAAACCACAGCGAGGGTTTGAAAGCGAAGCGAGTCTCGCTTTGAGAGCCGCAGACGCCAGCGCCCGGGCCTATTTATATACACAATATTTGCTTTTACCTCCTGCCTTCTGCCCAGAACTGCTCATACTTCATGGCTGGATGGTTTGGGGTTTTTTGTTTTTTTTTTTTTTAAGAGAAAAGAAAAAAAAATCAAAATAGAAAAGAAAATAATAGAAAAAAAAGAAATCAGGGGAAAAAGGAAAAAAAATCCACCCAATAATAGAGAAAAATACAAAAGAGAACATGAGAGAAAAACTCAGAGAGAAAAGAACAAAGGAGAAAAATAATAGCAAAAAAAGAATGGAAAAGAAATAGTAGAAAAACACTAGAAAAAAGGAGAAAAAAATAGCAGGAAAAAGAATAGAAAAAAAAACAAAGGAAAAAGAATAGAAAAAAGAATAAAGGAAAAAGAATAGAAAAAAAGCAGAATAGAAAAGCAAAAGTAATGGGAAAATAGAAACACCAAAATACTAGAAAAATCATAGAAACAATCGACAAGAGGAAAACTCGTGGAAAAAATAATAAAGAAAAAAATAATAGAAAAGAAAAAAAGGAAATAATAATAATAGTTCCTCCAGCATGGAGAAACTCAGAACATACTTTCTTTGGTGTTTCCTTTGTGAATTATGTGAATATATACAAGGCCATGTATTTTGTCTCTGTGTGTCTCTGCCTGCCTGTCTGTCTGTCTGTCTCTTTCTTTCTTGTCTGGGGCTTTTTTTTTTTTCCTTTGGTCGGTTGTGGGGCTTGAACTCGGGGCCTGGGCGCTGTCCCTCAGCTTTTCAGCTCCAGGCTGGTGCTCTACCACTTGAGCCACAGCACCATTTCTGTTTTTTTTGCATGGTTCATTGGAAATAAGAGTCTCACGGACTTTCCTGCCCGGGCTGGCTTTGAACCAGGATCCTCAGATCTCAGCCTCCTGAGTAGCTGGGATGACAGGCGGGAGCCACTGGCGGCGCCCAGCTCTGGGGCTTGAACTCAGGTCCCTGAGCTTTTGTGCTCAAGGCTGGTGCTCTACCACTTGAACCACACTTCAACTTCCAACTTTTTGGCGGTTCGTTGGAGGTAAGGGCCTCACAGGTTTTCCGGCACCGCCATTGCTCCATTTCCTAATCTGCCATCTGTTTCTGGCAGGTTTCATCCTTCCTTCCCCGTAACACAGCCCTCGCAGAGCCAGAACAAGAACTGCATGCTGGGGGTCTGTGAGATTCCATCTCCACCAGAACCAGCAAAAAGCTAGGCTGGAGACCTGTCTCAAGTGGTTGAGCACCAGCCTTGAGTGAAAAATAAATGGAGAGGTAGCACCCAGGCCTCAAGTTCAAGCCTTAGGCCTGAAGAAAGAGAAGAAGAAGAGGAGGAGGAGGAAGGGGGGGCAGGAGGAGGCACCTTGAAGTTCCCATGCTGTGTGCACTCTGTGCAGCTGCGCACTGTTTAGTTGAACACCTACTTACTCGCCAAGAGGCAAGGCAGAGAGGAGCTTGTGGCTAGCACTTAGTCTGCTTGAAGTAATCAAAAGACCCAGGGGAAGGAGAGTGGAAATCCACTGGGGTTTGTACCATGTTCTCTGGGGTTAAAGAAACAAAAAGCCAAGCACGGTGGCTCCCGCCTGTCATCCCAGCTACTCAGGAGGCTGAGATCTGAGGATTGTGGTTCAAAGCCAGCGGAGGCTGGATAAAGTCTTTGGAGACGCCATCTGTGAAATAATGAGCGAAAAGCTGGGCTGGAGGCGTGGCTCAAGTGGTAGAGTGCCAATATTGGTATTCAGTTTTTTTCAAAAGTGGCTCAAGTGGTAGAGGGCCAGCCTTGAGCAAAAGAAGCTCAGGGACAGTGCTGTCCAGGCCCTGAGTTCAAGCCCCAGGACTGGCACCCCAACACACAAAATGATATTGACTGAAATGGAACTCCAGGAAATGGAAACAAGGGCTTTGTTGTTTTCTTTGCTCTGTGTGTGTGAATTGTGGGTCTTGAACCCAGGGCCTGGGCGCTGTCCCTCAGCTCTTCAGCTCAAGGCGGGTGCTCTACCCCTTGAGCCACAGCACCACGCCTGGTTTTCTGGTGGATCACGGGAGATCAGAGTCTCTCACGGCCTTTCTTGGCCAGGCTGGCCTTGAACCGCGATCCTCAGATCTCAGCCTCCTGAGTAGCTAGGATGACAGGTGTGAGTCACCGGCGCCCAACTGCAGAATTCTTAACCTCGGGGTGCGGGAGAGGCCTTGCGCCCCATCTCTGGAGCTGACAGCAGACGACCCCATAAAAAGATGACGCAGGTTTATTGTGTGCCCCCAATGTTCGAGGGCAGAGCGCTGGTCTGAGACGGGGGGGGGGGGGGGGGTCTCCTGCTGGTCTCGTCCACTCTGACCATTCAGGAAGCAGTGGGAAGTCATGCAGGAGTCCAGACACGGAGGCTTAAGTCTGGAGGCAGGGAATAAATGAGATTACGAGATCAAGAGAAGCAGCAGAGGAGCTGGGCATGGGTGTGAGATGGGGTTAGGTCTGGTGTCTGTGGGCGAGCTGGGGCGGGGCTCTCTCCTCCTTGCTCCCCGGGGGGCGATCACAGGCCTCGGGCCCCGGGCAGGTCCGTGTCTTCACAGGGAGGGAGACGGAAGTAGTTGGAGCGGCGGAGGCGCCTGGGAGGGAGGCCAGCCATCTGTCTGCACAACTCATCTGGAAGAGAGAAGCAGAGGCTAGGGACCACAGGTCGCAAACCTCAGCTCCGGCTGGGCCGGGTGGCTCCCGCCTGTCATCCCAGCCCCTTGGGAGGCTGAGGTCTGAGGATCGCTGCTGGAGGCCAGCCCAGGGCAGGAAAGGCCGTGAGACTCTGATCTCCTGTGAGCCAGCAAAAAGCTGGAAGCGGCGCCGTGGCTAGAGCGGTTGAGTGCCTGCTTTGAGCACAAAGAGGCTCAGAGACAGCGCCCAGGCCCTGAGTTCAAGCCCCAGGACTGACCAGACCAAACGCTGGGTTGGAGGTATGGTTCACGTGGTAGAGTGCCAATCTTGATTCAAAAGCAAAACACAATCACCTTGGCAAAAAGAACCAGCCAAATGGGGGCAAGAGGCCCTGAGTTCAAGCCCCAGGAGTGGCACATGTGCCACAATCCACAAGTCAGTAGAGAAAGAGGCAGACAAGCGAGATACCTCCGCCCGCCACTTCCTCCTTGTTTGCGAATCTCCATGTCCCTAGCCGGGCGCTGGTGCTCACGCCTGTAATCCCAGCTGCTCAGGAGCTGAGATCCGAGGATGGTGGTTCAAAGCCAGCCCGGGCCAGGAAAGTCCGTGAGACTCTGATCTCCCACGAACCACCAAAAAGCCAGACGTGGCGCTGTGGCTCAAGTGGTAGAGCGCCAGCCTTGAGTGAAATCGCTCAGGGACAGCGCCCAGGCCCCGAGTTCAAGTCCCTAGCATGGGGGGGGGCGGCCTGGGTCTGTGTCCTGGCTGCACCCCATTCCTTCTCTGTCTCCCCGTCTTCAGGTCTGTCCGCTTGGAGATCAGAGGCCGGCAGCTCGGTGTGGTGAAATCCCCCGAGCTTCTAGAGAGTTCCCCCTCGCAGGTGGCCCCCCCCCCCGTTCTTTCTGCGAGGTTCACTCCAGCTCTGACTCAGCCGCAGCCGCGCGGCCAGCTGAGTCAGAAGAGCCCGCACCCCACGCCCGGCACCCCAAGTCACCCCGTTCCTAGAATAACCGACCGCGGCCCGAGACCACAGGGCACCCAGTTCCCAGAAGCCCGATAGCCTGTCCTGTCCAGATAGCCAGGCGCGGCTAGCCGTCCAGCTGTCTGTCTGTCTATCATCCATCCATCTGTCTGTCTATCCACCCATCATCAATCCATCTACCAATCCATGCGTCATCCGTCGGTCCATCTATTGATCTGTCTATCTTCCATCCATCGTCCATCTATCTGTCTATCCATCCATCTATCCATTAATCTATCTATCCATCTATCTACCTATCCATCCATCCGTCTGTCCATCTATCTGTCCATCCATCTATCTATCCATCTATCCATTAATCTATCCGTCCATCTATCTACCTATTCATCCATCCGTCTGTCCATCTATCTATATGTCTATTTGTCTACCCATGTATCCATTAATCTATTTATCCATCCATCATCTGTCTATCCATCCATCCATCAATCTGTCTATCCATCTGTCCATCCATCCATCCATTCATCTATCATCTGTCCATCTATCTGTCTCCATCCATCATCTATCTATCTATCCATGTATCCATTAATCTATATACCCATCCATTATCTATCTATCCATCCATCTGTCCATCTATGTCTATCTGTCTATCCATCTATCACCTCTCTGTCTATCCATCTATCCATCCATCATCCATCTACCATCCATCCATCTGTCCATATAGCTATCTGTCTATCGTCCACCCATCCATCCATCCATCCATCCACCCATCCATCCATCCATCATCTATTCATCATCTATCCATATATCTATGCATCATCTATCATCCATCTGTTCATCTATCTATCTATGATCTATCCATCCATCTGTCCATCCATCCATCCATCTCTCTGACCATCCATCTGTCCATTTATCCAGCTATCTTTGTATCTATGCATCTGTCTGTCTGTCTGTCTATCTAGCCGTGATCTATGCATTCATCTATCTCTATCCATCTATCCATCATCTATCAATTCACCATCTATCCATCTCTCATGGACTCATCTATCAGTCAATCTACTTATCATCTATCTATCATCTATCCATCCATCTCAATCAATTTATCAATGGATTGGCATCTGTCATCTACGTCTATCATCTATCCATCCATCTCAATCAATTTATCAATGTATTGGCATCTATCATCTATCTATCATCTATCCATCCATCTCAATCAATTTATCAATGGATTGGCATCTGTCATCTACGTCTATCATCTATCTAGCATTTCTGTCTTCTAGGGTCCATCAACTGTCTCCATCTCCATCTCTATCTCTATCTCCATCAATCTATTAATCTATCATCTATCAGTCAGTCTGTCTGTCTGTCCGGCCAGCCGGCTGGCTTTTGTGCTAACACTGGGGCTTGAACTTAGGACCTCACGGTTTTGCTTGGCCTTGGGGCTCAAGGCCAACGCTCTGCCACTTGGGCCACACCTTCCCTTCCCGCTTTTTGCTGATTCCCGGGAGATGAGAGTCTCTTAGATGTCTCTGCCTGGGCCTCAGACCTGGATCCTCAGCTCTCAGCCTCCTGAGTAGCTGGGACGCCAGGCGTGAGCACCGGAGCCCGGCGGCTGCTCATTCCCTAGGAGCCCTCTCTGCTGTCTCCGAGTGACTGGGAGTGCGTGTGTGCGCACACGCGTGTTCTTCGTGGCTCTACAAACAGCCCCGCACGTAGAGGACTCTCTGGATTCTGGTGGACACCCCGCCCCCCCCCTGCCATTCCCCTGTTGATTGTTCAAGGGGCCCAAGCTGGGGCAGAGGAGAAGCTCGGATCTGGCTGGAACCCAGCATCGAGGGGGGCCTGTGAACCCCAACATTAACTGGGCATTGCTGATTTACTGAGATGTCTGGGGGTAACTCGCAGCAGGAGACAATGAGAGCAAAGAAGCTCCCAACCAAGCCGCTGGGCCATTCACAGCGGGACCCCATGTCATTGTGCGGGAACCGACCATCCATCCCTCCTTTAATCCCGGACACCCACTCACCTTTCATCGCTTCGTGTTCTTTACACACCATGCGGGAGCAGATCTCGTTGTTGATGATGTACATGCGACGCAGACTGCCCGGGCCCCGAGGTCACCACAAAGACAGAGACAGGAAAAAGTCTTGCATTGTTGTTGTTGTTGTTTGTGGTGGGGCTTGAACTCAGGGCCTGGGCACTCTGCTTGAGCTCTTCTGCTCAAGGCTGGTGCTCTACCGCTTGAGCCACAGCGCCACTTCCATCTTTTTCCATGGCTCATTGGAGATAAGAGCCTCATGGACTTTTCTGCCCCGGGTGGGTTTCGAACCACTATCTTCAGCTCTCAACTTTGTGACCGGCTGGGGTTACAGGCGTGAGCCACTGGAGCCTGGCGGGTGGTGGCTCTTCCTGGAAACTTAGGCATTCCAGGGTGAGTCACGCTGCGGCGACTTTCCAGCACTTTCTCCCTGAAGAGCTGAATCTGTTGCTTCAGACTCGTGAGCACAGCAGTCAGGCGCTGGTGGCCCCTGCCTGTCATCCCAGCTACTCAGGAGGCTGAGATCTGAGGATCATGGTTCAAAGCCAGCCTGGGCGGGCTAGTCTGTGAGACTCTGATCTCCAATGAACCACAAAAAAAAGCCAGAGGTAGAACAGTGGCTTAAAGCGGTAGAGAGTTAGCTTTGAGCGGTAGAGAGCTAGCCTCGAGCACAAGAGCGGTAGAGAGCTAGCCTTGGATGTAAAAAAATGGTAGAGAGCTAGCCTTGGATGTAAAAAAAATGGTAGAGAGCTAGCCTTGAGCACAAAAGCTCAGGGACAGTGCCCAGGCCCTTAGGTAAAACTTAATGTACACACACACACACACACACACACACACACTACCTTGGTCCTTGTGTGTCTTGTATCGCTTACCTGGTAAAGCAAACCTGGTGGACACATTGTTTGACTGGCCGATGGACCGAGTAGAGTCTTGTGCAAGCAAATTTCTCGTCTCTGCACTCTAGAGAGCCCAACACAAAAATCAGAGAGGCCCAGAGAGAAGGGAATGAACACAGGATTTCAGGGCAAGAGAGGGAGGATAGAATAGAAAAAATATCTATATCTATATCTATATATACAGAAGCTGGGCACCGTGGCTCATGCCTGTAATCCCAGCGACTCAAGAGGCTGAGATCTGAGGATCGCAGTTCAAAGCCAGCCCAGGCTGGAAAGTTTGGTGAGACTTTTGTTTTTTAAATCTCTAATGAGTCAGCAAAAAGCCAGAATTGTGGCTCAAGTGGTAGAGCACCAGACCGTGAGCAAAATAGCACCCAGGTCCTGAGTTCAAGCTGCAGGATGGGTGCACACACGTACAAACACACACATACACACACACACACACATGCACACACACATGCACACATGAATAAAACCCTGAAAACAGAGTAGTCTTTTCAGGACACGGTTTTTCTGCTTGCTAAATACAGAGCCGGAGAAACTGACTCATGTAAAATTTAGGTGCTTTCCAACCCAGAAGCAGAAATAGAGATATTAATCTCCAAAGATGCTCCGATAATGACTTTCTAGGACTCTGGGTGTTGACATGAAATATCGCATTGACACACTGATAGAAAATACAGAGGTCTCCTTTTCTTTATTCTAGGTCAGAATCGCCAGTACGATTGGGAAAGGTGTGTGTGTGCACATGTGTGTGTGTGTGTGTGTGTGTACAATTGAGGCTTGAACTCAGGTCCACCCATTTTCTTGCTTAGTCTTTTCTGCTCAAGGCTGGTGCTCTACCACTTGAGCCACGCCTCCACCTCTGACTTTTTGGTGAATTCGAGACCACAGTCTCCCAGCCTGGGCTGGCTTTGAACCTTAGCGCCCATCTGGGAAAGCGATTTTAATGCTGAGGTCTAGGCTGGTATGGATTCCTGTAGTCCCGATCCAAACAGCCTGAACCCAGCCAGGTGGCCAGTAGCGCACGCCTGTAATCCCAGCTACTCAGGAGGCTGGGATCTGAGGATCACAGCTCAAAGCCAGCCCAGGCAGGAAAGTCTGTGAGACTCTTTATCTCCAGTGAATCACCAAAAAGCCAAAATCTAGCCATGGCTCAAGTGGTAGAACACTAGCTTGGAGCAAAAGAAGCTAAAGGTCAGCACCCAGGCCCTGAGTTCAAGCCTCAGGACCAGCTTATAAAAAAAGCAAAACAAAAATGGGAAACAGCTTAAGGAGAAGATATAGAGGAAGTAGCCATACCTGCTGTGGTGTTTCGGTCATTGCTTGAGGCTGGAAGAGAGAAATTATTATTATTATTATTTGGCCAGTCCTGGGACTTGAACTCAGGGCCTAGGCGCTGTCCCTGAGCTTCATTTTGCTCAAGGCTGGAGCTTTACCACTTGAGCCACAGCACCACTTCTGGCTTTTTGGTGGTTCATTGGAGATAAGAGTCTCATGGACTTTCCTGCCCAAGCTGGCTTTGAACCATGATCCTCAGATCTCAGCCTCCTGAGTAGCTGGGATGACAGGTGTGAACTACTGGCCTTGGCTGAATTAATCATTGTTTTTGTTCTTTTTTGGTGGCTGTGGGGCTTGAACTCAGGGCCTGGGCGCTGCCCCTGAGCTTTTGCTCAAGGGCTGGTGCTCTACCACTTGAGCCACAGTGCCATATCTGGCTTTTGGCTGGTTCAGTCAAGATAAAGAGGCTCACGGACTTTCCTGCCTAGGCTGGCTTTGAACTGTGATCCTCAGATCTCAGCCTCCAGAGTAGCTATGATGACAGATGTGAGCCACTGGTGCCTGGCTTGGTTGTATCGTGTGTGTGTGTGTGTGTGTGTGTGTGTGTGTGTGTGTGTTAGTGATCAAAGCTAAAACAAACAGGCTGAGCCCCAGTGGCTCCTGCCTGTCATCCCAGCGACTCAGGAGGCTGAGATCTGAGGATCGCAGTTCAAAGCCAGCCCAGGCAGGAAGGTCCGTGAGACTCTGATCTCCAAGGAACCAGCAAAAAGCCAGAAGTGGAGCTGGGACTAAGTGGTAGAGCGCCACTTTGGCCTAGGACAGCTTCCAAGCCCTGAGTTCCAGCCCCAGGACTGGCGCATGTGTGTGTGTGTGTGTGTGTGCGTGCGCATGCGTGCACGTACACACCGTTCACATTGAGCTATTGGAGGAAGGTGCCCTCATCCGTAACCCTGTCTACTTCGGGTATTGCAACCGCTGGCCAGCTGCATTCCAGATGTGAACTCACCCAGCTCGTCCAGAGAAGGTTGGATGTCTGCCAGAACTGAAAGGCACAAAGCGTTAGCATGAGGATGTGTGTGTGTGTGTGTGTGTGTGTGTGTGTGTGTGTTTCAGGTTAATGCTCTACCACTTGAGTCACAACTTCACATCTAGCTGAGTTTGGTTTTGGCTTTGATTCTCAGGAGATAAATGTCTCTTGAAAACTTTCCTTCCCCGGGCTGGCTTTGAACCACGATCCTCCGATTTCAGCCTCCTGAGTAGCTGGGATGACAGGCGTGCGCCACAGCGCCCGGCTCCCGAGCAGGGATGTGAATTCCAAGTAGGACTAGGGGGAAACATCTTTGTCAGGACAAGGTCAAGACTACTGGTAGCCGAGCCTGAAATCCAAGCGACTCAGGAGGCGGAGAGCTGAGTACAAGAACTCAGACACAGCGCCCAGGCCTTGAGTTCAAGTCCCACAACCAACCAACCAACAAAAAGACTTGTTGTTTAAGGGCATCAGATGGCCTAGAAAATTGGGAATATGGTTCTTTTTGTTTTCTTGGTACTGGTCCCAGGACTTGAACTCAGGGCCCGGGCGTGTTACTGAGCATTTATTGTTCAAAGCTGGTGTGTTCTACCATTTGAGCCATCCATGTCTTCTTGGTGGTTCATTGGAGATAAGAGGCTCACGGAGCTGGGAGCCGGTAGGTCACACCTGTCATCCCAGCTACTCAGGAGGCTGAGACGTGAGGATCTCAGTTCAAAGCCAGCCAGGGCAGGAAAGTCCATGAGACTCTGATCTCCCATGAACCAGCAAAAAGCTGGCGTGGGGGTGTGGCTCAAGTGGTAGAGCGCCCGCCTTGAGCTGAAAAGCCAAGGAAAAGTGTGACATTCTGAGTTCAGTTCTCAGTACTGGCACACACACACACAGACACACACACACACACACACAGAAAACCCCAAAAGCCCAAACAGCAAAGTTTCTGGAAAACCTACCAGATTCATCTGTGTTAAGTTCACTGAACAGATCTGCAAAGAGGCAAAATATGGAATGAAAATTCAGGTGGGAAAGCCGGGCGCCGTGGCTCCCGCCTGGCATCCCAGCTACTCAGGAGGCTGAGATCGGAGGATCGTGGTTCAAAGCCAGCCCAGGCAGGAAAGGCCATGAGTCTGATCTCCCATGAACACCAGAAAACCAGAAGTGGCGCTGTGGCTCAAGGGGTAGAGCGCCCGCCTTGAGCTGAAGGGCTGAGGGACAGCGCCCAGGCCCTGAGTTCAAGCCCCAGCATCAAGATAATAGAAGGCGAGCTGTATATCCATCCAAGATGGACAAATAGACTCAGTAGGAATTCACGGCCCATCTTTCTCCATCTCTACTGATACCCGGCCTCTAAATGACCATTAAACACAGAAACAGCAGCAGATAAACAGGAGCTTACTCGGGTCATCTGTGAACGTTTCTTGGCTCATGTCATCTGGAAGAATGAGAAAACACATGGTCAGTATTCACCGCCTCACCCCACCCCTGCACACCCCCTCATGAGCCCGGACAGCCCTGCAGACCATGACGCTGAAGAGCTACCTGGCCTGTCTGCCATCATTCACACACACTCGCTGCAATAGCCACGTCTCAGTATTTAAATCAACTTATGCCTGTCATCCCAGCGACTCACGAGGCTGAGATCGGAGGATCGTGGTTGAAGGCCAGCCTGGGCAGGAAAGTCTGAGAGACTCTTTTTTTTTTTGCTTGGTGGTGGGGCTTGAACTCTGGGCCTGGGCCCTGTCCCTCAGCTCTTCAGCTCAAGGCGGGCGCTCTACCACTTGAGCTACAGCGCCACTTCCGGTTTTCTGAGTGGTTTATTGGAGATAGGAGTCTCACGGACTTTTCCTGCCCGGGCTGGCTTTGAACCGCGATCCTCCGATCTCAGCCTCCTGAGGAGCTGGGATGCCAGGCGGGCGCTATTGATGCCCGGCTCCAAGAGACTCATCTCCAATGAACCACCAAGAAGCCAGAAATGGAGTGTGTGGCTCAAGTGGTAGAGCACCAGCCTTGAGGAAAAAGGCTACGAGGAAGTGCTCAGGGTCGACTTGGAGCCCTGGGACTGGAATAATAGCAGTTAAATTGCCTTTCTTGGCTAAGAACATTTAATACTCCCTGTCCTGACCCAGGGCGACCACGAGAGGTCAGCACCCTCGCAGTTGCTTTGATATTACTATGACTGTCCTGGCTGTGGTCGTTGAGATTGTGATTTTCAAAGCTGATTCCAGGTTGCAGATTGGAATCAGTGTATTTCTAAAGCACCTCTGGAGTTGTCCGTGGTTATAAAGGAAGGAGCGTTGCATGCATTTTGTAGGCCTGTTCTGTTCTTCTCTACCTCTCAATTCCAATGGAACAAACAGAGCAAATCCCAAAGATTCCTATGTCCAGTGACCCAGTAAAAAGGCAGAGGCCCAGAGGCGTGGCTCAGGTGTTTGAGGGCCGCTCTGGAGTCCAAGGCCAAGCATTGAGAGTACAGGATCCTGAGTTCAAGTCCTCCCCCTCCCCAACCCATGCACAAAGTAGTAGTTAACTTTTTCTTCTACCACTCGATCCACTCCTCTCCCTTGCTGCCTTTTGCTGGCTAATGGGACATGAGGAGTCTCGTGGGACTTCCCTGCCGGCGGGGCTGGCCTTGAACCTCGATCCTCCGAGCTCAGCCTCCCGAGGAGCTGGGCCGACCGGCCGCGAGCCACCAGTCCCTGGGCCTTCTCGAGAACTTTGATGCCCCGGACTGGCCTCCAACCTCGATCCTCCCGCCTCTGCCTCCCAGGGGCAGGCTGGATTCCCTGCTCCCAGCTCAGGGGCCCGCTGGGCGACCGGGCCTCCACGTCCCCCCCCCCCCAGCCTCCTGGGCAAAATCCAGGAATGGTTTCAGGCGGGTGGGGAGGGTGGAGGAGGGATCTGCCCTCCCTCCTGAGACCCGGCCGCATTCCTGGGCCACCACGCCAGCCAGGCAGGGGTGACGTCAGCGGGGGACACCCCAGGGCCTGGGGCTGTGTGGGGAGGATCTGCTCAGAACCGTGTGTGTGTGTGTGTGTGTGTGTGTGTGTGTGTGTGTGTGCGTGTGTGTTCTCTTTCCCTGCTCCCATGTGCCACGCTCAGACCCCGCGCTCACCTCCGCGCTGGCCCTCGACTCTTCCCAGGGTGATCCAGTCTGTAGCAAAGGAAAAAAAAAGAACATGAGTGACCCGGGCCGGGCGCCGGTGCGCACGCCTGTCCTCCCAGCGACGCGGGAGGCTGAGGCCTGAGGATCGCAGTTCGAGGCCAGCCCAGGCAGGAACGTCGGTGAGACTCTGACCTCCAATGACCCCACCCAAAAGCCAGACGTGGAGGTGTGGCTCAAGTGGTAAAGCACCAGCTTTGAGATAAAAACAAACGTTCAGGCTGGGGCCTAGGCCCAGGGTGGGGGGGGGAAGGAGGGCGCGGGGGGGGGGGAACACCTCTCCCCTCCCACACCAGAAATGGGGGCCACCCACAGAGGGGACCAGACAGAGCGAGTCTTGTCTGTATCCACAAGAGAGAGACGGGGAGAGAGACAGAGAGACAGAGACATATAGAGATAGGCAAATAGATGGCAGAGACAGACAGACAGACAGAGACACAGACAGACAAAGACAGACAGAGATACAGAGACAGAGACACAGGCAGAGGAGACACAGGAGAGACAGACAGAGACAGATAGAGATACAGAGACAGACAGAGACAGAGAGACCGAGACAGACAGAGCCACAGACAGACAGACAGACAGACAGATAGATAGATAGATAGACTGGGATAGAGACAGAGAGACAGAGAGAGACACAGAAACACAGGGTTATAGAGAGACAGGCAACTAGATGGCAGAGACAGACAGACAGACAGACAGATGAAACTGGGGAGAGTCAGAGAGAGAGACAGAATTAGAGAGAGACAGAGAGACAGACACAAAAAGAGAGACAGCAAGACACACACACAGACACAGATATAGAGATAGACGGCTAGACAGACAGATGATGGCAGAAAGACACACAGACAAGA